ATTTGATCAAAAAACTACCAAAGTGCTTCTAACCTATGAACAACCGAAAAAGAATTCCAAGAAAATTCAGATGCTGCACGAAAGGGCTCCTCAATATGTGGGCGCATTGCAGTAACAACGGCCGCTGCACGCCAACAATCCCAGCAATCCCAGTAATAATTTCAGATCTGGAATTGATGTGATGGGATGAAATGTACCGCCATCAAATGAACAACAACAAAATAGGCTTACAATCTATCGCTGACATGCAGCCATGCCAGCTAAAACAGCAACAGCGATACTTTCTTTCTCGGACAAATCCTTTCGCTCCTCCAACAGCGAATCAATCACCGTATCTTCATCGAACAGGAATTGCTGTTGCTTCTCGACATTACAGGGTGACGAAGACAATGAAGCAGGAGGTGAGGGAGGCTGTTGCTCTGTATGCGGCCGAGGACTCAATTCGGATAGTTCTGATAACGTCGATGCTAATTCGGATCCGCTTGACAGTAAAGGGGAGGAACACGTGGTTGTTTGCTTCACTTGTGGCGGAACGGACGGTGGCGGAGACAACCACTGCAGCTGCTGTTGCTGAGATGGAGTTAAAGAAGAAGCATGAGATGCAGCGGCGGCAGCTGCTGCTGTCTTCAGCTGTTGATGCAAATTTGCAGCTTGTTGCGCTGCCACTATATGCTGTGCCAAAGCCACCTAAAATACTCACGAATGTCTCGAAAAAATCGAAAAATGCAAAATCCACAAAAAGAAGAGCTCTGTGGCACTCAAGCGATATGAAACGAGCATTAAAAACGTTGCCAGATACATCTGGAATATGAAAATTACGAGTTATTAATAAAGTAGTATTGACTAGCTCAAGCAAAAGAGAATAAAACCGAGCAAAACGAGAACAGCGGAACAGCGGTCTGTTATCACAGTACCGACAGTTACAACTATAAAAACGCTAATTAATTAAGTGAGCATATCAAAACACATTTTTTAAAAAAAACCCCTTCAAAGCGCACAACTTTTAATAACAAGACGCTGGCTGCTCAAGCAAAACTAGTTAAAAGATAGAAAAAATTTACCTGTGTTAACTGTGCGTGTTGTGCTTGTGCCTGCAGTTGTTGCAAAAAGGGTAGCATAGCGGTGAATGACTGCGCGCCATTGATCCACGGCAAAGTTGCCGTGGTACCATTCTGTTGCTGCTGTTGCTGTTGATGCTGCAGTCCAAGAGCTGCGGCCAGAAGAAAAGGATTCGTGGTTTGCACGGCAGCTGCTGCAGCAAGCACAGCCGGAAAATTTCCAACTACTCCATTCGCGGCAGCTGCATTTAAAGGTGAAGACGCATAGGCCGGCGGCGTTGCCAATGATTTATTGTCCATTGTCGTCTGGGGTATCCTTTGGTGATCAGGAGTTGACGAAGGCGACGCATCCGAAACCTGAAAAAAAAAATTACACCCTCATTTAACATTTTCTAACATGCGATAATAATCAAAAATTTCTAAAGGTTCTCGATCCGGATGCAAATTATTTGTTTTTGGGTTCAATGCAAAAATAGGTAACTAAAGAAATCCGTACACTGCTTCAGGTTTCATCTTCTTCCTTTAACATTCTGCTTTATTTATTTTGCGCATTACAGTTTGTCCTTCTTTTTACTTTATTTTTACAGCTCCATCTTCTAAAGGATATCACATATTAGTAATAATATGACTGATATGCTCCTATAAACCTATAGGAATAGCTATTTCAGGTCTATAGGGTGGCGATGAATGAAATGATGGCATCATTCTAAGAATTATGGGAATGATATCAAAATAAAATGCAAGCAACAACTTCATCATTATACATAATTCGCTTGCAAATTTCACCTATAAAAATCTGCATCAGATATATACCGTTCTGATGAGCGCAGTTAAGCGAAATGGGCATAGTCGACTGCAGAAAGATCACAGAAATTTCTTGGAAAGCATATTTCAAAAATTCATTCGGTGATAAATCGAATTTACACGGCAAAGGACCAAGACAGTCAAAAATTTGCTTCTAACCAACTTCAGAAAGAGTAAATCACTGTAACTCTTGCCGGCAGGCGTTTTCTGATGGTTTTCTCTTTCTGCGGTTTCCAAATCGGTCCTCCTTTCCACTGCCTCTGCCTTTCGATGGATGGATGTAGAGGAGCACTCGATTTGACAAAAACCAGTGTGGCAATAACGAAGAACATTTTCGCATTTAGAAGAAAACCAACCTGTTGAGAATTGGAGTTGGACAAGTGGAGTGAAGCAGTGTCTCGCCGCAATTCATCTTTCAACGTCTCGACATCCGTTCTTCGCAAATTCGAATGCTTTGTATGTATCACCATTTC